GGACGTCCGTCCTTTTATTTCGTCTTTCTTCCTAACTCTTGCTTCTGCTTCTTATTTCCTCCCTGGATTTGAACTTTACTTCCCTAAGATTACCAGGTTAGGTTACTTTTCCTCAGACCTGTCTTAAGGCAGCAGTTTTGAAGGGTTGCGCAATTTGCAAGGATTAGGATTGAGAAGAAAGAAACGAGAATGAATTTCTGATGTTTTGATTGTCTGGGGTTTGTCAATGCCCAGGTAAAAGACCTGTGTTCGCAGGAGTGACTGATTGTTGATTCTTTGGCAGATTGAATACTTCTGAGTTTATTAACTTTGTCTAGTAAAGGTTTCCCTATAGACAACATTTTGGTTTTGGGATGTCTTTGCTAGCTTTTAGGGATGCTCTTAGAAAAAGCCGCTTGGAACAGGTTGCCTAAGGTCCTTTGTGGCATTACTTCTTTTCATTTATCTCCAGTTTTAGTCCTGAAGAGAGGCACTGGTGGTTCGCGAGTGGTAGATTCTCGCGCCTCCCGCGGGAGACCCGGTTTTCAATTCCGGCCGCCAGCCTGCAAGAGTCTTGTGGGAACTCAAAAAAACGCTCGCACTGGGGAAGCACAAACGTTCTGGTGAGTCACTGCAGTTGTATTTGGGCTAAACTGTTTACTTATCTCATTCCCTATGAAGATCGCCCTGCGACCAAATGAACCAATTAGGTCTGCCTTCGCCGTGCTGGACCTTGGGGCCGTTACCACGAGCCCTATGGGAGCTCCGGAAGGAGACGTAAGCTTCAGGCGGGGCAGTCACCTTCAGAGGGTCCAAGAGGCATCAGCAGGGCCAAAGAGAAGGGGAGCCGTGCTGGGCCGAAGAATCTGCGGAATCAAGGTAGAGATAATGAAGAAACAAAGCTTGGTCCACTGAGTTAGTCTTTTGTCGCTGGTTTTTTTGGCAACAGAGTAATGATCGGTCTCATAATCATTATAATACTATTATTTGTCTGCTTGAAGATATATAAAGCATTGGAAGGAAAAGTGATATAAAAAGATTAATAATGCTTGCAGTCAATGTTTCATTGTTTGGGAGAATCCAATTTCCTAAGTCAGTATGCTTTGATGTATTAGCTGTGTAAGGAGTAGACTAGTTTAAGGAAATATTGACGGTACAAATATTAACATATTAGTCTTTTGATGAAGTCAAATAGTAGACAGATTTCTTTCCTCAATTTTCCCTGGAGACATTAAACTGAAGAGAAAAATCCAGCATTTTCCCCACATGGGTCTGGGAGTCATTATGACTTTTTCAAAGACAGGAGCTGTGACATGGAATCATCCTTCTTCTCTAGCTGAGATGCCAAGTTAGGTCCAGGCTGAGTCATAAACTTTAGCCCAACAATGAAATCACCCTTCGCATTGACCTTGCCGAGCTTTGGCTGTTCTCTGTTCTTTGCCCAACACCCGAGACACACACCAACTGTGGCCAACAAACCTTAACATATTATCTATATCAACCAGAGCTACATTTATTCCCAAATCTCCTTCTAAAATACAAACCTGTACTTTCTACTCTCAACTTCTACATTTACAAAGGCCTCATATGCATCTCAGAGTCACAGATGGTAAAACTCAACACACCAGTCAGTTCTCTGTCAAAAAACTGACAAAAAACTGGACTCCCGGTCAGGCACACTGGCTCATGCCTGTAATACTAGCACTTTGGGAGGTCAAGGCGGACGGATCACAAGGTCAGGAGATTGAGACCATCATGACTAACACGGTGAAACCTCATCTCTACTAAAACTACAACAACAACAAAAAATTAGCTGAGTGTGGTGGCACCCGCCTGCAGTCCCAGCTATTCAGGAGGCTGAGGCAGGAGAATCGCTTGAACCCAGGAGGTGGAGGTTGCAGTGAGCTGAGATCACACCATTGCACTCCAGCCTGGTCAAAAGAGCAAGACTCCATCTCAAAATAAACAAGCAGACAAACAAAAACAAACAAACAACAACAACAAAAAAACCTGGACTCCCTACAGCCAGTGGAGTATGCACCATTCACTTGCCACACTGTATGCTGAGTGACCCTTCCACAGCTTCAATCTGCACATAACTTCAGCCTGAAACCATGTAATGTCCTTTTATTTCTTCAGTACAATGATTAATACCTTATTATCTGTACCCTGCTTCCCTCTATGCTCATCATTCTGATACCTCTTGCCAATACTCAAATCCAGGAGCAGCAAACCACTTGACATGTCACAAACTTTTCACAGGTTCACGCCAGTGGATTCCTCAGTGAACCAGCTCTCTTAACTCAGGCTTCCATAACAAAATACCACAGACTGGATGGCTTAAACACGAGGAATTTCTTTCTCATAGTTTGAGAGGCTGAGAAGTCCAAGACCAAACTGCCAGCCGATTCAGTTCCCCGGTGAGGGCTCTCTCCCTGGCTTGCAGACTGCTACCTTCTCCTTCTGTGCTCACGTGGTGGAGAGAGAGAGAGAGAGCGCACGCTTTGGTTGTTCATCTATTTCTTAGAATGACACTGATCTCATCATGGAGATCCCATGGTCATGACCTCATCTAAACCTGATTACCTCCCAAAGGCCCTACCTCCAAAATACCTTCACATTGGGGGTTAAGTCTTCAATATATAATTTGAAGGGGACACAAACATCCATTCCATTACACTAGCACCTGCCTTTGCAATCCAGCCTCTGGGCCAGGCTTAGCAGTGGAGAGCCCAAGGCTTCAATTGACAGGATTTTTATGCTCTCAGGCTCTGGCTCCTTGGCTCTGGAAGCTTCTAGAAGCAGTAGGGTGATACATCTTTTAGCAACTATAAAGGTGTAAAACACACGGTGGGTAAGAGTGCCCTATTAAGTATTTTGGTGATGCCCCCATTAGTGTGCTTGGCTCAACCTATTAATAGGAAGTAGTGATTGGCATCCACCTCAGTACCACCCCCTGAAGTCATCCTGTCAGTTTCCATTCCATTCTCCTACCCTTGGCTTGCTCGTTCAATAGTCTTAAGTGATGTACTCCTTGGGCTCTCCTTTTTCCCTCAGAGATATCTTGTGATTTCTTTGATTCTCTCCACCTTTACAGGTTAATAAGTCTAATTTTAAAAAAATGTGTAGATGGATGTTGGGAAGCTGTTGGGAAGCTGTGAGGAGAACCCTTGGGCTTTTTGCCTGGGTAAAGTGCAGATTCCTGAGGATTCTGGGCCTTGGTCTCCAGCTGCACTAGTGCTGGCCACTTAGCTGCTCTCAGCAGCGTCACCTGGCGCAATGGTGCTGAAGCGCACTGCGGAGAGGCCAGAAGGCAAAGCGAGAGCCGGTGGCTATGGCCTGGAACCCATTTAGGCAAAATTGAGGGCGCGCGGGGACAAAG